TGTCCACTACCGTACTGTAGGTTAACATAGACGAGCTCCACCACGTTCAGCTGCGAGCCTTGTCGGAGTTTCTATCCTAACTCGCCCCATTCCGTCGGTTTATAACTGAACAAAAAAACTTTATCACGGTTCTACCAACTGTGTATAAATTCACAAAGGCCAGGCTTATACAGTATCGTGCGTCCCATGATAAGCTTACAATAAAACTGCTCGTCTCATGAACCTCACAGAATTGGCTGTGGGTTGACTCAATCGTATGATAGTAAATTTGAGAGTAATTCGAAATCTCGCGCTAGTCATTTTATATGACCGGCTGGCAACGGATTTACGCTTTATGCAAATTTAGTAACAATACAATCACCTTTTTGTCAATGACTAACAACTTGTTATTCACTAAGTGGATTAGCATATTATTTAAATATTAGGGCAACACGCATATGGTAGGGAAAAATATAAGTTCTAATGTGACACTGAGATCCAGCCATTGTTTCCCACAGCATTGTTGTTTTCCAGTATTTTGCCTTTTAATCTATATATATATATATATATATATATATATCTTGTCTTGTCAATTGCTGGATCTTGTCTTGTCGTCAGTTATTGCTGATGATAAGAAGAGGGCATAATATTTCATTTATTCCCAAAGCATTATTGTTTTTCAGTATTTTTCAATTTATATAAAGTATATACAATATAGTAAAAATTGTTTAGACCTATAGGTTTTCTTGAGTAATGCAACAAGAGTGTCCATGCTTTACAGAAATTGCCATTATTGACCAATATTTGGATGAAAGGGGAAAACTATTTCTCCAAGCTTTAATAATTTCATGTAAATTTCTTTAGCAATTATCTGAAAAAAATATTTTTTTCTCATTCATTCATTTATTTATTCAGCCAAAAGTTTACAGTTAACAAACAGGGAAACATTAACAAACATTGGCCAGGATAGCCCAAGAAAACCAATAGCAGGTTTATTTCCATTGGGGTCCTGCATTAACATTACTGTATTAGATTGTACCGTCATGTTGCATACAGGCAGGCAATTCATATGTTGGATCTGGCACAAGCTTGGCCGAAACAACCGAAGAGTAATACCAGCATGTGCAGTTCTTACAATATGGAAGCCATTTCCTTCCGATACTTGCACTTGAATTCCTAATTTTAACATTACTGCATAACCTACATTAAACTTTTGTTTCATTTGAATATTGACTTTCTTTCCCTGACCAATGTAGCCTTATCAGTCCAAATAAAGTAATTTGTTATTTGTTCAGGAATGACGTCATGATTTTCTTTTGCATTGTCAAGTGCATCCTTAAGCATTTTGATCTCATACCGACTCTCAAATGAAGAGCATCAAATAATTCCTCAACATAACCTACACAACAGAAAAAAAGTACACATCATAATTGAAAAAAAATATATGTGGATCCTGTATCAATTATTTGAATTGTTTCCTTTATAATCAAATAAATATTTAGTTTTAATACAGTATTTACAGTTCACATGAGAATGCTGAGAGTATTCATTATTTTTTTAAAGTTAACTAGTAGTTGGATAACCCCTAAGAAGAGGAACCAAATCAACACACACACACAATTTAAATTGCTGGCTATATCATCTTCCTCAAAATAAAGACTACATTACTGCATCCCAAAATAAACATCTATTCTAATGGTCTTATTGGTTCTTTGTTATGGTAAGCAACAAAACATACCTAATGTGGATTCTTCATTTACAGCTTTTAATACAGATTGGTTTTTTTCTTACAATGTTAGGAAAGAAACTGCCAATTTTGCTTCTCCTTCTCTGGTTAATATGCCTGGTGTTGTTCCTTTTGGTTGACCATTATCTTCTATAACAATGTCAGTAACAACTCCCCTAACACCTTTCTCTTCATTTGCATCTGGATTTGGTAAGGTCTTCTAGTACAGTACCTAGCAAGTAAAAGAAATAATAAAAATCTAAATGCCAGACCAGCACAAACTATAGTTTAAATTAGGCTAGCCTAAGACAGACTTTATCAAGTTAGTAAAAAGCATTTCTGTAAGTTTAACCCAATCTTCAAATATCCGTAGTAAGTTAAATGCAAAATTTCCGAAGCACCTAATAATTTGTCTTGAGTGCAAGCAATTATGGGTACAGGAAAATAATAATTGTGGATTCTAAATAGAATTTTAATTCGGGTTTGAAGTTTCTTTTAGGTGCACGTGTTTTGGCAGAATCGATGGTACGTGAAGATCGTTTATATAAATTTATGTGATTTTCTTTCTCCCAATTCGATACAGCTTCTGACAATTTTTCATAGCTTGTGAAAGTGCCACCGAGACGCAAAGTGTCTTCATCTGCCATTTTGAAACTTCACTAAGTGCGCGCTACAGAAAAAAAATATTTGCACATGCTCAATAGGACGATTTCGTACTCACGAAGCAAGCGGCGCCCTTCAAATAGATCGGCGTAAGCATAGCCTATGATTAATGCTTACGACTCGGCGTAAGCATAGATACTTCGTTAAAGTAAACTTCCCACTAACAGCGACAACGGCACATTCGCTTGCAATACTAGGACATGCAAACTTTGTCCACATATCAAATCCAGTAACATTGTCAAAGGACCAAACAATAATCATTTCAACATAAAAGGCACTTATAACTGCATGTCATCCAACCTTATATATGCTATATCGTGCAATATTTGCCCTAATGCTCTCTACATCGGACAAACTGGACAAACACTAAGACAACGGATTAATGGTCATAAACATGAAATTAAACACAAACTCACCCAAAATCCTGTAGCTAATCATTTTGCATCTTCTGGCCACTCAATTAAGAATATGAAAGTGCAAGTAGTTAAGAAAGAATTTTTCAAAAAATAGTTTAGAACGAGAAATAGCTGAACAGAAAATAATTACACAATTAGACTGTATAGAACTAGGCCTTAACATTGATCGAGGATTCCTCCCACATTACCTTCAATAATTATCTCTCATCATTGTATGTATATTTTTATATTTCTATAGCTGCCTTATTATTAACTGTATTTTTGTCTCATAGTTACCTTACTGTATTTACTACCTATTTACTGTTTTTATCATTGAATTGACCATAGAGAAAAAAATATTTTCTTTATGCTTTGACATAGACTTATTCTGTATGCTATTTCCCACAGTTTCTTATCATTGATCTTTTAATACTGTTTATTTAGATTGCTTATTTCGGCAGACTTGTACTTGCTTTGAACACCATTCTTTATTGTTATAGTTGTTTCCTATCCCATTTGTACAGTCTCCTGATGAAGTCCACTGTGTGGACGAAAGCTAGAGAATAAATTATATATTGTTAGTCTCAAAAGTGCTGCTGTTATTTACTTTATACTTTCTATACTGTACAGACTAACGCGGCTATACTTTTTATTCATATTATAAAATAATACTGTAAGAATTTACTATTTTTAGGCAGTTCTTTAATCCTCGCCGATAGACCGAGAAAGCCCCTCGATGGCAAGCATTCTTTAATTAGGCAATCCTTAAGTAGCTCCTATTATGTTTGCAAATAAATGATATGTGACGACCAGCAAAAAATTTATTAAATATGTATATCAAAATGTAATTTAAATCCGTCTAGGGTATATAGATTTTTGCTCCTTAAATTTGAATATGAGCGAGCCCTATACAAACCTTATGTTATTAATTTGATTATTATTATTTATAAATATTAAAATAGTATAGGTCAGTTGGCCGCAATATATAAACTGTGCTTTGCTGTAAATGTTATAAATTGTTAAATGATATACAGGATCTGTGATATATTCAACTTGTGTAATTATCGTACATTTTATTGTATTAAAAGTCTCGCCTCTATTTCAATATTGTATTATGGCTGTACAGTATGTTACTTTTATAAACACACCGCAAGAGTGTGTCCGCTGTTTTAAAAGCGTCGTTTCCGAAATAAAGTTATAATAATTATATAATAGTATGCAATAGAAACCGCAAATCATTTTAAAGATTATTAAACATCACCTTTATTTTCATTGTCATTCGTATTTATACAGGCTGTACAAAGATTTGAAATTAAGAACCTTTTTCTAATATTGTTTAGCGAACTATTAAAAACAATTAAAACCAAAGAAAAGATTACCATTAAATAAAATAGTTCGGGTCTTCATTGATTAAAATGTGACGAATTAAAAAAAAAAAAAAAAATTATAATTTTAATTTCAATCATTTACGCGAGCACGGAATTTACGCGAGCACGCACGCACGCAAATATTCGATTATATATGAATTCTTATACGCCGTCCATACTAAGTGATGTTAATTATTAAATATAATTGTAAACCCAATTAAGTGTGTGAAATTAATATGCAATGTACGTAACACATATACTTTGAATGTGTTCATCGGGAAGATTATGAAACAAAATGGACGGTGTGTGCCACGTGACTTTCGTAAACCAAGGAGCGGAATGTCGCAACTCTTTATATATATGGCTCTGGGTGGACGGAGCTCGTTTTGGTGGAGCTGTTGGTGCCTTTTTTAAACTAATGTACGTGTTTCTTTATCTACATTTTGAACGTCGTGATTGATACTGTATTGTGCTACCATGTTGTTGAAGCAAATTATGTGCTTTTTTGGTGTTGTTTAATCATTATTTTGGATCAAGGATCACCTACTACACAAACGAACTGCTAGGCTAGTTATGCAGGAGCAAAGACGTTGCACCCCACCGCTGCCAGACAAACACAAGTGGCCTAAGATCGTAAAACGCAGAAAGAGAGGGAAAGCAGGAGGACTCATGAAACGCCTTAAAATTAGGAAAAGTAGACCTTAAATCCCATCTATTATTATTGGAAACGTGCAGTCACTGGACAATAAAATGGACGAACTAAGGGCAAACGTGCGATACATGAACAAATTTAGGAAAGTAGTCTTATGACTTATGTCATTTACCGACCGAGACTTGGTTGAAAGAAAAACACAGGGATGAGCATATGGATATTGATGGATTTAAATTAATCAGAGGTGATCAAACATCGGAATCGGGTAAAGAAAAAGGAGGAAGTCTGTGTGTATATGAGAATAGCCGATATTGTCACCCAAATAATGTAACGATTAAGGCGCATACATGCACACCGAAGAGTGAAATAATGGTGACTAGTATACAGCCATTTAACATTCCTAGAGATTTTTCGCACATAGTTGTCACGGTATATGTTCCTCATAGAAACCTTGCTAAGAAAGCTTCAGAACAAATTTACGACGCCATTTATAAAGTTGAAGTGGAATCCCCTGACGCTTTGATTATAGTAAATGGCGATTTTAATCATTGTAATCGAAGGAAAAGTAGTGTTTATTACTACCAATATGTCAGCTGTGCGACCAGGAATGCCAGCCAACCAGAGCTTTATTACTCGAATGTAAAGAACGCATATATGTGTCAACCAAGCTACCTTGTCTCGGCAATCATAACCTCGTACAGCTAAGTAGCAAATACTTACCGTTGAGTAGGACGCAAAAACCAAAGAAAATCATTGTTAAACAATGGACAGATGAATCTATACAGCGCTTACAAGGTGCTTGGAGTGTACAGACTGGGACATGTTTAAAGAAAAGTGTAAAGATCTTAACGATCTCACTCAAACTTGTTGTGACTATATTGATTTCTGTTGTGAAATTAAAATTCCCAAAATAGTTGTTAAAAGTTTTCAGTAACAATAAACCATGGATTACTAAAAATGTTCGTTCAAGCCATTATTAAAAGAAAAAAAGTAGCCTTTAATAAAAATGATAGAAATAAACTTAAAGATATCCAAAAAGATCTTAAAACTATTATACGTAAAGAAAAAAATAATTACAGAATGAAAGTAGAAAATCATTTTACAGAAAATAACATGAAAATGATATAGAAGGGCATGCGCTTGATGAGTGGTTTTATGCATAAAGATAAGAGTAATAGAGTAAGATGTTTTCCTGACTTATCTGTGCAATATGCTACCGAATTGAAAATTTTTTTTTTTAACCGATTTGATTTACATGATTTTTCCGTAGAGAGGCAGGTCCAAACAATTCTAATTAATTCTCTAAATGATGACTTCACTGTCACAATTATTATTGCTTATATAGTTTTACATAGTTTCGAACTAGGCAAACCTTGCTATAAAGGTACACTTTCTCCATCAAAAGGAATTTTCTTTGAATGGAATGACCTGTCCTGTAGACCAAACCTGGTGCCGTTACGATTTTTAATCGTGCTGGAAATCGACTCACTATGTCTTTGATTTTTTTTTTCTCTATAGAGGCCTGAAGAATGAGATAATATTAAGTACTTTCTAAGTAATTAAGTTTATACTGATTTTGTTATTGTTGCCCATCCTATATGGCTGTGCATCATTTATTTAAGAGAAGCAATATAGTTACTTACAGATCTTTTCAAGACGAGAAAAACAGGAATTTTAAAGAACTTAAAGGTCATTAAAAAAAAAGCTCATTTCCGGCCTAGGAATCAACATTTTTCATTTTGAAGCACCCTCTTTCAAATCCTGGTTTCGCCCCTGATTATTATGTGGTGGTAATACCTCATCACAGACAGTGCCTGGGTCACTAACAGTTGGATGGATGAAGTTTTTTCTCATTTATCATCCAAGATTTTAAAGTATCACGATGGATGTTTTCCTCATCATGACCTAACTCTCATTTACTTGTGAAAGTATTTGAAGTTCGTGTGGAATAATACAAAATAAAGTACAATATTTTGAAAGTTACTTTGGCATTTCAGATTTTTTTCTTTTTCCTATATGTTTTATAGATTAATTTTTTGACTGAAGAGAAAACGTTATACTTACATACCAGACTGAGGAAGGGCTGGAGAACATAGTCAAAGCAAACACATCATTAACCATATCTTCTCATTTAATAAGAATTACATATGCCGAATACAAATGAATGAATGGATGAATGTTTATAATGAATAGTCGTCTTCTAATATAGGGAGGCCTATAATACTGTATTATTTTTCTTATAAACTCCCATGCTTTTTCATTTATCAACATTTAAAATACTAGCGTGATTTAAAGTAAACTTTCTAAAAACCAGGGAACAGTGAACTGTTCCCTGCTAAAAACCCACAAAATATATAGCATATTTTCCAATAATTCTTATAAAGTCTTGCCTTTATATTTCGTTTAAAAATGGATATAATAATTTGACTTTATGTACTCTATTCCAAATACAGGTCTTAAAAAAGTACTGTTTTTATATGCTGCCATCACTCATGCATCCACAACAGAAGCTAGGGGCGTTTTCCCTATACAGCGGAGGGGCGTCACGCTGACGCGTATATTAAGAATAACAGTGGACTCTCTTCTGTTACAGTATAATATACTCTTCGCTTGTATAAAATAAGACTCTGTTGCGGTGGTAAAAAACTAGTGTGGTGTTCCTGCTCGCTCTCGGCCAATCAAAAATTTAAAATTAAATTTGATATAGTCTTACTTGTACAGCCTTCTTCTTATTCACACTTCTTCGCATACTCCACATGTACGTCTAAACGTCATGTCGAAACTACGTAACATAATGTGCAAACAACATAACATAATGAGCAAACCACATAACATCATGACCAAAGTACATAGCATCATGACCAAACCACATAACATAATGAGAAACCACATAACATCATGACCAAACCACATAACATAATGACCAAACCACATAACATAATGATCAAACCAAATAACGTCATGGCGATTGCACATAATAGAGTGTTTGCACATAACCGAAGATACTAACGGCGTTCCATATAACGGTAGCCGCCTATTTGGGTGGCATTTGCGAAGTTTGGGGTACCGCGAAGTTTAGAGATGCAATGCGGAGTTTAGTTTTCAATGCAGTAGTTGCTGAGAACAACATGGTTTTTTTCGATAGTAGCAGCAGCATAATGTCGTCAGTCTTCAACCTATATTTTATCACAATCCAAGATAAGTATATTTCGTGTATTTAAGACAGAATATTAATAACGATAGGAATTAGGGGCCTCGATAGATCGTTACATGTTACGTTAGGCCTAGCTAGCCTGTAGGAAACACCAGGTCCCAGACTACTACGAGGCCTAGGCCGTCTAAAGTAACAAGGTATCTAGCCTAGGGTAGGCTAGCTAATCGTATAACACTACTGTAACATTAACAAGAAAGAGGGCCAACGACAGCGTAGCAGATAACAAATTTACACGGGCCTAGAGAGAATAGCATGACGCCAGAGAGGGCCTACCTACTACTACTAGCCATAGGCACTTGATTGATTGAATTTCTCACTGTAACCACACTAAAAAAGTGGTGCAGGAGGCTGGTGTATACCAGTGGTGGCCCTCTATTATCCCCTTTTGTATTCTCAAACTGTAATTTAAAATTTAACAATTTTTCTGAACCATTTGATGGAATAAATAGTTTTTGTATGA